GAGCCACCTCTCCAGACCCAGGATATATTGTTATGGAAGCTCATTAGCATAGTAGGTTAAATCATGGTCCTTAACTTTCTACTGCCATAGACCCTTTATAAACTTAAAAACAAAGATATAGGCCCTTTAAAGCAGAAAAGGTACATTTGCTTAGATGAAAAACATTACTTAGAATTATCTGGTTAGGAGGAAGAATGAGGAGCAATTGCAGCAGTCCAGGATGAAGTCTGGACTAAGTCACAGGACTGAGGACAGGAATGATGAGTTAAATAGCTGTGTGTTACCAAGAGATTTTGTCACAAATTAAACTTGAGAAATAAGGGAAAGACATGAGTCTGGGTTAACGTCCCACAGTCTAGTTTGGAGAGAAACAGACTTCAGAAGGAAGGATAGGTTTAGTTTAGAAACTGTTGAGTCAAAGGTGCTTTGGGGACATCAGAATAAATAAGTTAGGCAGGAAGCCAAATCTGATCTTCATTTCGATGTTTCACGTACATGTTCTCCTGCCCTGCTACTCTGCAGACTCGTAAATCTGCGTGGCACTTCTCAATTGAGACAAGAATATTCTTCATTTGCAGAAACGGACCCAGAGATGGGAGAAGAAATCAAAATTCACACACTCCAAATCATTTTACATTTTTAAACTAAAAGAATAGACTTTTATTAAGCGCTGTAAGTTTCTTTCCATCAGCATTAACAGAACAACAGATCAAATTCCATCACAGAACTCCTGAGACATTCTCATTCCTTTCTGAGACATTTCCATTAAGTCCTGCAGATTCCCCCAAGAAGCATCCACTCAAACTTACATTAATAAACTATGGAGCTTTTGTGGTGAGGTGGGCCAAAAGGCAGGGAACTTGGAATCTGGGAGTGGCAAAGAGAAAGACGTTATCCATCTACTAAACACACTGTCAAGAGCACAGGAAAAAAACAACAACGAAAGAATTTACTTTTGTCAATAACATCATTTATCAGGGAGCACTAAAAAAAATCACTGACTTTTTGCAGTTAAAGTTTTTTTTTGTTTTTTTTTGTTTTTTGTTTTTTAATCTAGTACGTTAGTCTAAAAATAGAATAAAATAAAAGGTAGAAGGAAAGTCCCTTCTGGGAAGTAATTAAAATGAATTCATCAGATCCGGCAGGGTTATGAGAGATTAATAAAATCTGAAATATTTAACTTGCTTCATTTACATGAAAATTCACTAACCATTATTTACTACTAACACAGACAAAAAAGTCATCTATAAAAGTACAGGGACAATGTCAAAAGCTGAAATGGGCACCCCAGAATAGGGGATGTTTAATTTTGCTTTTAACTTAGAAAAGATGATTTTTGTAAAAAGTGACATTTTCTTAGAACATCAAAATCTCCTCAGACAATACTGAAGATACTCAGCAATAGAAGGGGACAGGTGCACTGAGCTATCTGTACCAGCAGACTACATCAATAAGAAAGGAGAACATTCAAAAAGAAGCCAGTGATGGAAAGGAGAAACATGAGAACATACAATGGAATCGTGAAAACTTACCCCCAAAACCCCAAGAATATTTAGGAAATATGCATCTGAAAGTGAAGAAGTACAATGATTAACCCTTTAGTAGAATTAGACTAACTACTTTAAACTGCCGTCTACTTGTACTGTCATTTCAAAGGGTGGGTGGGGTGGTTAGAGGCTGAGAGGGTGGCACTGTATACCCACAGGGGCCTTCTAAGGTTTCAAAGGGCTGAATCATCATACTCAAAGGGCTACTCTCATTCTTTCTATCCCACATAAGCATTTTTGCATCCCCTCCCCCTAATACCTTGTCTGTTTCTCCCCCCCACCCCCCTGAGATGAACATATTAGGGTAACTTGGCCAACGATGTTAGAAAATCCAGATGGAGACAAAAATCAAGTGTCCCTAGCCAAAGAAAGTGCCATTTCTTGGGCTTCAATTTACCTTAAATCCTACCTATATACAATGAAAATGATGAGAAGGAACAGAAGTCTGTCAGAACTGGTCACTTAAAATAGGTAGGAGTCACAGGCACACCCAAAGACACACAGGCAGAACCGCAAGACCTTGGGGGATCAGTGGCTGTACAAAACCAGGTTTGGGGTTGTTTTTGTTTTTGTTGTGCTCCTATGAGGTAAAGCAGTCATTTTGCGGGGTTCCAACATGACTTTGTCCAGTAATAATCAGAAGGAGATCCTGGAGTGGGTCCAGCAAAGGTCCTCGATTTGTCTTCCAATTAGAAAAAGCTTATTTCCCAGTAACAAACCCTGGTTTTCCTGGCTTTTAAATGGTGCATTTTGGGAGGTACACCAAAATCTAGGAACATAACCCTTTATAGTTCTTTCTTGTAACTTCCCAAACCCCAAATGCTAAATCGAGGCAAAATTCAAAGTTGAAAGTAAGCCACTCGTTTCATCCTGTGTCTGGCTAGGGAGAAGCAGAGGTCTGTGGAGGGGGGGAGGGCAGGTCTTTTGGCAAACTGGAATCATTTCTGTCAAAGCAGCAATTTTACCTCTCACAGTGAATGGCTACAAAATAAATCTTCATGTTGTGAGAAGGATGAGAGAGTTAACAATACTGTCACCTGACTGTGTCATATAGACTCACGATGCACAGAAACAGCAACTGAAGAACACTACCATTTTACTCCAAGTACTTCCTACTCAATATTTGTCCATATAGCTAACTATTCACTCACTCAGTGATTCTGGTTACTTTTAGAGCTCCAAAGGGATTCATCCTTCTGGGGATCAGAAGGTGATTCTAAGCCATCTACATTTTCTATGAATTCCTTTCCTTACTGGATATAAAAGTCCTAACTTTCAAAGTATTGTGAAAGGATGAGCAGGTCCAAGATCAGAAAGGGGACCAAATCAGGGGAGCTCATTTCAACGAGGAAGTGTTACATACTTCTTTTTTTTTTTTTTTTTTTGCTTATATACAGCCAGGTACATAGTCTTGCCACCTTAATTAGGTTTATTTAGGAAATGTCTGGGCAAGAGGCAAGGCATACCTGGGCTACTGTCCCCTGAAAACTGTGAGTTCTCTTAAACTGGACTAGACTCGGGTTAAGAATCCCAAGACATTTTAGTTTCTTGAGACAGAATGGACAGATAGCAAACATAGCCTTCTGGTTGTTTGGAAAAAAAATCACCAAGGATCTGTTGTAGATTAAGATGCATGGTTTTTTTTTCCCAAAAGAGAGAATCCTGCTAGGAGTCTAGTCAGTTATATTCTTGTAGAAATGATATTTCTTGGGCAAGAATATCAAAGTCCAAAAGGAGATGTGTGTGGCTAGAAGCCTCAATTCCTGAATGAAGATATGCTACTAGTTTGTTATAAGCCATGTTTCCATCCCTTGCATTTTGGCTGCCCAAAATGAGGGAAGCTGGAAATCAAGGTTTTCTTAAGATTATCTCCAGCAAGGAGGAAGAGCCTTTTTTTTTAATCCTGGGCAGACCTTGGCCCCACAGGGACTGAGAATCTTCTAAAGAATACCTCTCAAATCCCAGGCCAAGTTCTCTGACATCTTCCTTGCAAAGTAAATGAAAAGATCCTGTAGTTAAAATGTCAATGAATAAATGAAACAATCTACGCATGTAAAATCAAATTGTCCAATTTCCTCACATCTCCCCACCCCATCATTCCAGTGCTAATTTTCCCTCCTTAGAGTCATTTCAATCAATTCTTGCTGAAGCCAATTTGATCCTGGAGGTCCACAAGAAATATCTTTCAAATTGGCTGAAAGCCCTTTCAAATGGTAATCACTTCCTATCCCTTTCTATCTCCAAACCTTCATAAAAATGTGCAACTCTTCCCAATCCCATTTCAACCTCCTGTTCTCAGCATATGGGATGTGAGGGCTCTGTTCAAAGTGAAGTATTTGTTGTTCTGACCAGGCGATCTCTGGAAAGTACTTTGTGTCTGATTTAGAGCAGCCTATCTTCTCAGAATTGTGATAGGCTGTGACTTAGCAAGGATTTCAGATTTGAAGTATTGTCTTTTGAAACCCACCATTCCATAGCAGTGGAAGCATTTCTGGGAAATTCAGGAAATCTTCTGGAACTTTACCATGTATGTATGTGTATATATATCTGTATACACACATTTATATATATAAAATATGTATAGATAAATAGATCTGTCTCTTATATAAAGGGTATGTGTATGCATATAGATACACATGTTCATATATACACCCACACACACGCCTATACACATGTACACACACATAGAGTCTTTTGAGTCCCTTTTGTACTCAGTTTCATAACATTGATTCCCACCCTTTTAGAGTGTGGGCAGCAGATAGTGGGTGAACTGCACCATATCTTCTACTTTATAAACAATGCACTGGTTGGGAGGCAGGAAAAATCTGCCCAGTACTTTTCTGACTCACTTGAATCTCCCAGTACAAAGGCCATTGTAGTTTTTTTTAAGTGTATAAAATAAAAAAATTAAATAAAATAACCCAAACCAACACTGTCTACTTCCCTGAAAACATCTACCTATTTGATTGTCAGGCCAAAGCTAGAGGTGGTACACAAAATCCTGGGGTGGGTTAGTTGGGGGAAAGAGAAGGGAGGACACTGACTAGGTATCTAGGTATCAAGGTTCCATTACCTTAAAGACAAAAAAAATGAGGAAGCCATAGATAGCTTACCTTTAAACCCCTTATTTTCATTGACATTTATAAATGAGTATTATATTAAATACTCAGAAAACCAAAGCCAGAACTTTTCCATAGGACTTACACGATAACATCTGCTTCCTGACAGTTACTGCCTCACCAGACTTCCAGGAAATAGAAGGAAAATGTTGGTGCTATGTATTTGAGAATCTGAGTTTAGTGTTGCTGCTATTAATCTTTAGCCAGAAATCTCCAAGGTTCTAAGTCTGGAGCCAGAGAAGATAGGGAAGGAAAGATGGACACAATAAATGTATATCCCCTTAAAATCCTGGATAAACCTAGGGGAAACATTTATATCCTCCTCTAACTTGGGCCTAGAATCAGAAAAGTATAGTTTTCTCCTCCTCCTGACAAGTGAAGCTATCTTCAGTTTGTCATTCCTCTTTCTCCTGGGCCACAGTCTCTTTCTCTTGCTCTTGCTCTTTCTCTTGCTCTTGCACCTGGCTCTTCTCTCCATTCTTCACGGGGAGGCAGTGGTCATCATTATTACACGTGTTACTGTCTTTAGATAAGGCACATTGTGATGGAGCTTGAAGATGATCACTCTTCTCTTCCATAATCAATGTGCTATTATTTCCATTCACCTGGGAGCGGGCCCGACCTTGATGAAGCTCCACGGATTTAGAAATTCCATCTGAAGAGCCCTGTTAAAAACAAGAGGTACTTGGTGGAAATGGTAATCCCAAACTGGCTGGGCTTCCCCAAGTATGTTCATAAGGTAGCCTGAGAAATTCTTCAGAAACATCAGAAAGCCCAAAGGTCATACATTCTGATATTGTCCTAAGAACTGCACTCTAACAGCAATGATGACACAATGACGACACGACTACCACTCACATAGCTTTAAAGCATATTTTTCTAATACTAAGAGTGACTGAAATAGCATATATTATCATGCCCCATTTACTGAGGAGGAAGCAGAGGCACAGGAAAGTTAAAATAACTTGCTTAAGATAGAGAGTAGTGGAGCCACAAATCTATTTTAGGTGGGTCAGCCTCTACATGCTCAACCGTCAGACAACACTGGCAAAATACTGATAATCAGAAGAGCAAATTACAAGCAAAGGGGAAAAATCAATAGGGAAAAATCAGAATACCTACTGCAGTATCTCACAGTTTTATAACAGATACTCTCTGCTCTTGGAAATGACATGAGTCCGCAGCAAGTGCTGACTTTCCGTGACTACTACTAGGAATAGTAACATTACTAGCAAGAGTACCTACTATGTAGTTAGGCAGCTCACATATTCTGGTGTTCATTTTATAAATAAGACAACAACTCAAACAAAGCAAAAGGATGTACCAAAGGTCCCTTACATGCCTAGACCTTTTTACTCTAATGGCCTCACTATTTAAAATGAGATATAATAAATGTTCATGGGTGTTGAATTTTGGTCAATTATAAATAACAATTTTTACTAACTGCTTCCTATATTCCAGGGTCTATGTAAAATTCTTTGCAGATATCATCTTATTTAATCCTCGTAATTCTATAATTTTCTCGTTTTGCAAATCAGGAAATACAGAACAATTTGCCTAAGATTACAGAACTGAAAGGGCAGAACCGTGTGTAAAACTAAATCACTCGGCTCCAAAGTCTGTACAACACAGTGTTTGATCACAGACCCTATAGATGCCTTCCCCCACCCCACCCCTGAAAATTAGGCCATAACCCCCTGCAGCTTTCCTTTGGAGTATAATTGAGAAAGCATGCTGGGCAGTGGCCTTGAGGCTCCTTCCCTGGCATCTGGAACATAAGATTATGATCCTATCTGTAGGCCAGACCAGGTTAGGTTACTTGGTATGAAAGAAGCTTGCCTACACTCGTGAAAACACTCTAAGAATCAGAAACCCCTTTTGTTCTCCAGTTTTGAAAGGACACCCCCCTACCCCCATCTCTGTCTCCCTCCCTTTTTTCAAGGCTCTATTATGGCTGCCTTTGGCCAGGATGGTATGTCTCCTAATAAAACTACTCTTTGAACCTGAAGTCCCATTCTCCCTTCCAGAGCCTCATTGTCTAATACAGTTCCTTTGAACAGAGATCTCATGTCGGCCCCTTTCCATGAACCTGCCATTTTTCTTTTTAAGTTACAATACACAGGGACTGCTAGGAAGTGTTGCCTAAGAACCTGAAAATACAGTGGAATTAGTAAAAATTTACCCAGTAGGTGGAATATGTCATCAAATGGATTCAACAAAAAAATAATAGCATTATAAATATGTGACTTAAGGATTTAAAAGCATATAACAGCCAAAACCCTAGGAATAAACTTAGGAAGATAAAACTATAATATATGAGCATTATACAAGCTGGAACAATTAGTTACTGAAGGAATCATGAACATAACTGTTGTGGAATATTACTTTAACTATGTAAAGAAGTGTTGCATTCTTTATGGTGCATTTGTTTAATTATGTAAAGATGTGTTGCTTTTGTTAACATTGTATTTATTTTAACTATCTAAAGACACGCTGAATTTCCTTTACCTTGCTTGCCTAAGGCACCTGATTGATCTAATAAAAAGCTGAATGGCCAATAGGTAGGTAGTAGAGGGATAGGCAGGGCTGATGGGCAGAAAGGATAATTGCAGGAGGAGGAAGTTAGGCTCAGGAGGACAGAGAATAAGGTAAAAAGAACAGGAGATGCCTGGGGCCAGGCAGCCCAGCAGCGGCCAGCAGACACAGGAAGCAGGAAAGTAGGACATACGGAATGAAAGAAAGGTAAAAAGTCCAGAGACAAAACGTAGATGAAGACAAGTGGGTTAAATTAAGTTAAAAGAGCTGCTTGGAAATGAGCATAAGCTAAGGCCAAACATGCATAACTAAGAAGTAGTCTCGGTGTCAGGATTTGGGGGCTGGCAGCCCAAGAAAGCCTGCTACACAGTACTAAAATGAAAAAGGAAAATCAACAAGGCTGCCAAGATAGCCCATAGCAGGCGTGTCCAAGGAGGGTGAGTTAAGCAATAATAAAGTTAATATAAGCACTTCCATGGTCAGGTCGCCTCTACAGAAGACAATAGTGAGCTAGAAGCTCCCCTGACACCCTTCTTTTCTCTCACTCTCCTCACACATGAAATAGAACAGTGTGTACTTCATATGTTCCCACAGAATTTAATGAGCTACTCCATGTAAAGCACTTAGAGTATATGCCTGGCATGCTCTAGAAACTCAATAAATGAGCTACATGGCAAGAGCCCATTTCAAACCTCCAGCCTCTATCTCCCTAAACCAAACAAATGGAGAACTAAACAAATAGCAACTAGCTTCATTATTTCTGTTTCGTGCCTCCAAGCAAATCACTGATACTTTGACTTTCCCTTAGAGAAAGCAAGTTCTGGTAATAATGGTTACCAGCATGTGCACTTGAGTCAGCAAAATCTGCGTTGGTTCTGACTCTGGCTCTAGCAATCAGAATTGCTCTGCTGCATTGGAATCCATACCATACAGGGCTTTGGAATCAGCTGGCTCAGGCTAGAAAGTCAATTCTGAAAACTGACTTGATTGATGGGTAATATACTAATATACCTCGTGGGAAATGTGAGTGGCAAAGAGTATGTCTGTAATGTGTCATCTTAAGTATTCTTTCTTATCAAAATCAGTACTTAGCTCTCATTCATTTGCCATTCACTCCAGATATATCCACATGGCTATTTCTGTGGTCTTGTTAATATGAGTCGATCACAGAGAGAGTAGTCTATTCTTTACATACTAAAAATAGCAGGTTTTCCACACTGCATCTTACTATACTCTAGATGTCTTCTTGGGTGACTAGCTTTCCATTTACATGCAATACTTTCTATATTATTGACCAGTTTCTGGAGGAACTGAGAAACTTTAGAAGATTTCCAAAGTTACTGTTCTATAGTTTTGTAGTGCATTAGAAAATGCTTTGTGTGTAGGGGAGAGGTGAGTATTCTAGTTTCACTTCTGGTTCAAAATAACACCAAACTAAACATTAAATAGTTGAATTTATTTATGGTATTTATTTCAAGACAGGGTCTCATTACATAACTCTGGCCATTCTGGAACTCATTCTGTAGACTAGGCTGACCTTGAACTTACAGAGATCCACAGCTTCATCTCTGTCTTCCAAATTCTGGGATTAAAGGTGTGTGCCATTATGTCTGGCTAATAGTTGGATTTATTCTTGATGCAGGGAAGGATGACTGTATACAGGAGAATAGATTTTGGATTAATATCTGATGACATCCTGGCATGGCAACACAGGCTTCTAATACCAACAGCTGGGAGACAGAGGCAGGTGAATCTCTGTGAGGCCAGCCTGGTCTACACAGAGAGTTCTAGGCCAGCTAGGGTTACATGATGAGATCCTGTTTCAAAGAAAGAAAGGGAGAGGGGAGAGGAGAAAAGTGGAAAGTAACAAAGAAAGATAACTGATCGCTACGTCTAGTCTCCACATACATATGTATTATGCATTCAGACCTGGCACACATGTGCATATACACACACAAATGAAAGCTGGTGGTATATCTCAGTGATAGAGTACTGGCCTAGCATGTACAAGGCCCTGGGTTCAATATCCAGGAAAACACACACACACACACACACACACACACACACACACACACACAGAGAGAGAGAGAGAGAGAGAGAGAGAGAGAGAGAGAGAGAGAGAAGAATAGTAATGATTCCCTCTCCCATAGGACAAAAATCAAATTTTCTAAGCACTAGTATGAGCCCTCAGAGCTCAGACAGGCTCTAGACAATCTAGCTCTTAGTGTCATTCTGGTCCCTTCTGGCTGCACACAGCACATACTATACTAGGCACAGGTCGTCTGGACATTGGACCTGCTTTCTATTGTGTGGTCTTTCATTCAGAAAAAAAAAGGAAGAGACTCTGCAGCCCTGTGGGAGTAATTTGGCGCGACAAATCTGTACTGAGAAATGGGCACTGAAATCAAATGGCTGGAAAAGACATGATAATGCTCCGGGGTGGCTCAGCTTTCCATGCCTGATACAATCTCTTGTAATTTAGCCAGAAGGGGCAAAAGGTGTCAAAACAGCTTGATACTCTCAAAAGTGATACTTACTTGTTTATTTCCTTTTTTGTGACCTTTGGATCCTCTACCAGTCTGCTCATTTCCATGCCTTTAGCAAGAGGGAGAAAAGTGACAATGAGAACACATAAATCCTAATTAGATTTTAAGAGCTGAGCATTTTCCTAAAGGTACCTTGACCGACCCTAGCTCAAACTAATCCATTCAAGTACATACCCCTTTCCTGGCCCACCGACAGAAACCACTTGCATGCCAAAGGATCCTCGACTTCTAGAAGATCTGCTGCCAGCCCACTGGCCCACCACCATCCCAGCAATTTCCAGTTTTCCTCCTTGGGGTGGGATTGGATGGAGACCTGGGAATTGAAGAACAGCAGTGGTGAACAGCAAGCGCAAGATAGGGCGAGAGGTGGAACAAAAGCGCTATACAATCTCCCTGTTCTTCTCATCCCCGTGTCCTGCTAAGATTGTGATGATAACAAGGGGTGTAAGGTCAGAGAAGGGGACTGTAGATCTTTCTACATGGCCACTTTAATAACTAGTGTGTAGTTGATTGATTTTTTTCAACTGTATAGCCTGCTACATAACAGGAATTTGTTTAGAAAAATGTTTTTTTTGCTGGCCCCAGATACTTTTTCCATTTTTAAAATTCAGAATTTCCATACATGTATATGTGTTTTGATCAACTCCACCTCAATCCTTCCTACTGTAAATTGTCACCTGCCCTTCTTATCACTTTTCTCTCTCAATTTCACCTACTCAGTGCTGCCTGTATGTACATGGGTGTAGGGTCAGCTACTGGAGCATGGGTGGCCTCCAAGGGGCCACAACCCTGAAGAAAACTGACTCTTGCTTCTCCAGTAGCTATTGATTCCCAATAGCTACTCAGCTGGATGGACATCATGGCCTCTTCCCCAGCCCATGCTAGGATTTTTGCCTGGCTTGATCCTGTGAAGGTCTTGTACAAGCAATCATAGCCACTGTGAGCTCATGTGTGCAATGGTTCTGCCGTGGCCAGAAAACAATATTTCACACCTCTCAGAATCTGTCTGCCCCCCTTCCACCATGACCCGTAAGACTTGGGCAAGGGGATAACATGATTTAAATGTCACATTTAGGGCTGAGAACTGGGCATTGTTTTATTCTTTCACCTTAACCAGTTGTGAGTCTCTGTATTCACTTCTATCTACTGCAAATAGAAGTTTCTCTGATGAGGGTTGACAGATGTAAAAATAAGTACTTATGGATGTAAAGATAAGTACTTAGGGAGAGCCTACTGTATGTCCACTTGGAAGAATAACAGTAAGTAAATCCAATCAGAAAGTAGTTGGCTACTCCCACAACATTCCTGTCACTACTATATCAGTGGGCACATCTTGTCAAGCCAGTCATTATTTTGGCTGACAGGTTTACAGGACTCATAGCTGGGTACGACTGCTGATTGTTCCCCTCCCCCCAGAAGAGTCCACAGCCTTCCAGCACTATGAAGATAGCTAGTAGGGATGAAGCTTTCAAGTTGGTACCAGCCTAATTTCTCCATGTTCTGACTCAAGTACGTGGTATGTTGAGGAAGGGTCTTATCATCCAGTGCTGGAGGATAACCAAAATCAGCAGCAATACCCTGCACTGTTCTGGGACTCCATGGGACCCCACTGACCAACAACATGTAAAGAAGTAAACCAAGTCTCGCAATGCACGTCTTGGTTTATGAGAATGCATTATTCCCCAATTATAGGGTAACTTCACTTAAAGTCTTTTTAGACATATATATGTATGAGAAACTTGTACAGTAGTAGGTTTCCTTATGGTTTTGTCAAGGACTTTACTGTTATCCCTCTCCACACCTTCTCTTCTTCTCTGCCCACAAATAGAAAATGAATTCTTAAAATGTGGTTATTGGAAAATTATAGGTCAAACCCACTTTCCATACAAATATGCCTCGTTATACAATATAAGATTAGCCAGATGAGCAAATTATATGGGAATTTGGAGAAATGGGATGGTTGGGATAAAGGAAGGGTAGATATGGGAGCAGGGAAGTATATATCTTAATTAAGGGAGCCATCTTAGGGTTGGCAAGAGACTTGAACCTAGAGGGGCTCCCAGGTGCCCAGGGTGATGTCCCCAGTTAGTTCCTTGGGCAGCTGAGGAGAGGGAACCTGAAATGACCCTATCCTATAGCCATACTGATGAATATCTTGCATATCACCATAGAACCTTCATCTGGCGATGGATGGAGAGAGAGACAGAGACCCACACTGGAGCACTGGAATGAGCTCTCAAGGTCCCAATGAGGAGCAGAAGGAGGGAGAACATGAGCAAGGAAGTCAGGACCACAAGGGGTGTACCCACCCACTGAGACAGTGGGGCTGATCTATTGGGAGCTCACCAAGGCCAGCTGGACTGGGACTGAAAAAGCATGGGATAAAACCAGACTCTCTGAATATGGCAAACAATGAGGGCTGATGAGAAGCCAAGGACAATGGCACTGGGTTTTGATCTACTTCATTTTCTGGCTTTGTGGGAGCCTAGCCAGTTTGGATGCTCACCTTCCTAGACCTGGATGGAGGGGGGAGGACCTTGGACTTTCTACAGGGCAGGGAACCCTGACTGCTCTTTGGACTGGAGAGGGAGGAGGAGAGGAGTGGGGGGAGGGGGAGAGGAGTGGGAGGAGGAGAGGAGTGGGAGGAGGGGGAGGGAAATGGGAGGCTGGGAGGAGGCGGAATTTTTTTTCAATAAAAAATAAATAATAGAAAAAAACAAAAAGAAAAATTATATATATATTTCACACTCAGGAGACAGACGCAAGAAGATTGCAGCATTTAATGTCAGTCTGGTTAGAGCAGTAAGGCAGTTTGAATATGAAATATGCCTCACAGGTTCCTATGTTTCAACAATTGGTCTATTAATATGTGTATCACCACGAGGCTCTGGCCTACTGGTAAGGTTCCAGTGTCCTTCTCCTTTGACAGCTGGCAGTGCTTTTTGGGAGGTTGTGGGGCCTTTAGGAGGTTGAGCTTAGTTGGGTAATGGGGACTACTGGGGGGTAGGCTTTGAGGGTTTTAACTGGGTCCATTTCTGGCTTGAGTTTTCTGCTTCCCGATTCACAAAGATCAACAAACATAAAGAAAACACAGCATTCCACAGATAAGCACCAGTCCACATGCCTCCCTTGCCATGATATACAGTATTTCTTTAAAGCATGACTTAAAATCTCTCTGTCCTGTTAGGTGTTTGGCCACAGCCACAAGGAAAGCAACAAAAACTAACCCTAACAGTTGTAAAAACCAGGAACAGTTCAAGACAAGATGTAAAAGGGGACTGCTTGTTTGTTTCTCAGCCACCCAGACCCAAATAATTACACACAAACTATACTAGTTACAACATTATTCAGCCAATAGCCTAGGCATATTCCTAGCTAGCTCTTACATCTTAAATGAACCCATTTCTATTAATATGTGTATCACCATGAGGCTATGGCCTACTGGTAAGCACATGGAAAGAAAGCACAGGTTAAGAACACTGTATACATTTAGCCCCTTGTTCTAGTTTCATTTCTGTTGCTGATAAAATAGCATGACAAAAGGCCACGGTGGGGGAAAGAGTACATTTTTGCTCATAGTTCCATCATAGCAGAGAAATCAAAATGGCAAGAACTTCAAGCAGCTAGTCACATCAATCTGAAGTCAAGAGCAGAGAGAATGCATTCATGCATGTTAGCACTTAGGGAGTTACTCTTATGCAGTCCAGGGCCCCAAGCCAGTTTCCGGCTGGATCTTCCCCATGCCAATTAAGGTAACCAAGACAATTATCCACAGACATACCCATAGGTCAACGTAATCTAGACAGTTCCACATTAAGACTCTCTTCCCAGTTGATTCTAGGTTGTATTAGGTTGACATTTAAAACTAACCATCATATGCTGGCTGCTGGTAGTGCAGGCCTTTAATCCCAGCACTCTGGAGGCAGAGGCAGGTGGATCTCTATGAGTTCAAAGCTAGCCTGGCCTACAAAGTGAATTCAGTTTGGATAACCAGAACTGTTACACAGAGAAACCCTGTATCAAAAAAAGCAAAACAAACAAACAAAAAAAAACACCCCAAAAACCATCACAACCTTTGTATGAAAGTGAGATTCTGGCCGGGTGGTGGTGGCGCACACCTTTAATCCTAGCAGTCAGAGGCAGAGGCAGGTAGATCTCTGTGAGTTCGAGGCCAGCCTGGTCTACAAGAGCTAGTTCCAGGACAGGCTCCAAAGCTACAGAGAAACCCTGTCTCGAAAAACCAAAAAGAAGAAGAAAAAAGAAAGTGAGATTCTAAGGGTTTACTACATTGTTGGTTTGTGTTTGTTTTGAGACAGGGTTTCTCTATGTAGCCCTAGCTGTCCTGGAACTTGCTCCATAGACCAGAATGACCTCAAACTCAGAGATTCACCTGCCTCTGCCTCCCAAGTGCTGGGATTAAAGGCATCCAACCACCACCACCCAGCTGCACTTAGTGATCTTATCATGTCCTTTCAGAAAGGCAGGAAACAATTAGGAGGCTTCTGTGATCCATCAGTAGTTTAGGTGATGGTAGGAATTTCCCAAGACCTTGGTCTTAATGAAGGCATCTTTTAGAATAACACAACACAGCCAACACACAGAACAAAAATCAGAGATCAGTTAAGTCAGCTTAAAGGGATAAATGGTTGGCTTCTTGGTCTGTAAGACTTGACTACATAGGGGCCTGACTTCCATACTGTTCATGTAAGCCCACTCTTGAGCTAAATATAACTGCTGAGTTTTGTCACCCTAAAAGACTAAGTTCAGCTTCCAGCTTTATTGTTTTAAATAGAGGTGCAACACACAATACACATGTTCAACCGCAAAGATACACTGACCTGATGACAGAGTCTTGCTATTTCATGTTAAAATACCTCTACTGAGAGATCCTGCTTCAGAGCTGGGGATGCATGTAGTTCAGAGGTAAAATGCCTGCCCAGAATGTTTAAAGTCCTGGGTTTGATCCCAGACACCACACCTACAGAAAACTCTTTTTCACCAGAAGCAGGTTGTTTAATATACCAAGATTTCAGCTGCCTGAAGCGTGCTCGTCTATTCCTTATTAGGCAGTCGCCATAATTTATACATACATGTATGTACTTGTTTTCTCTATTAAAATGTAATTCTTTGGGGTGTGTGGATTATGAAGTTACTTTCCATGCTTTTGGACCTAGGGTAGGCAATGTATCAGGTCTACCCCTAGAGTGGTTACAGCTACCTCAAGCTACTGTCGTCTTCCAGGACTGACACATACTTCCAATTCTTTTCCCACAAACACCTTCCTGCAACTGCCCATAAGGAGTGAATGAACTAACAGCAACCGTGAAGATCCAGTTGATATGAATTATAGCGATCAAAATAATGAAATGGTAAGTGACTCATCAGTTTTGTATCAGTCCAGATCGCATGAGTTTGGATGATGAGAATCAAATCACTGAGAACCAGCCACCTTCATTGAGAATGGTCTTGGATTTCAATGGACTTTCTTTCCCAGGATACATGGAGAGTTACATTTCAAACTATTATACCACAGATGGAATTCAAACAAGGTAGGACATATATTGTACTGTTGAGGCTGTAGCTGGCAGGGAACTAAATGGTTTATTGTGAAATAAATTAGATGACACCTCATTCTTAAGTACTGACCTGCAAAACCCCGACTCCTTGCTTGAGGGGGAGGTGGAAATGAGCCCATAGCTCTGGAATAAAGAGAAACAGGGTAGAGCGGGGGCATCATGGGAGGCACAAATGTAGGTGACGGAAGTAGAGCAGAAGGTGGTGGATGATTCATGTTGACGCCTTCAAGGATACTCTGCCTCATCTTTTCCACCTTGCTTGCCAGGTCAGCCTTCAAACGCAGAAGAGAATTGTTAGTGTTCTGAACTAGCCCCATATTTTATGCACAGTACTGAGCACTCTAGGCACATTCTCATAACGTTTTTCCCATTGTGCTTCTAGACTCCAGCCTCAGGAGACTCATTTGGTATCAAAGTTCCCTCTCTTCACAAGATTCTACAGTACCAGAAGATTAGTTCTGGCCAGTAGTTTGTGAGGAACATTATTTATGAGGATGATAACAAACAGAACAATAAGGACATCAGGAAATGGTTGATTGCATGGCCAATGATTGCCTAGGTTATTCTTTTATAAGGGGGAGGTAACAAAATCAGGTAACAGAGAAAAGAAAAAAACAGACATATAGGGCCTTTTAACCTCTCCCATACTCAACCATTGCTCTGATGAGGGTATGTGTTGTAGACTGTTATTTTAAGGTGTATTGCATTCATTTATGCTGTGGAATATTTGTTTAATGCTGCAAATATGTGTTATGTTCTTTTATGTTACATTTGTTTGACTCTGTGAAGCTGTGTTACTTTGCCTATCTAAAACACATGTTTGATCCACTAAAGAGCTGACCAGCTCACAGCTAGGCAGGAGAGAGAAATAGGTGGGGCTGCCAGACAGAACAAATAGGAGAAATCTAGGCTTGAAAAAAGGGTTAGTGAGGAGAGAGAAAAGAAGGCGAGGAGGGTTCCAGGGACCGGCCACCTAACACTGCAGCCAGCCACAGAGAAAGAAGGAAAGAAAGATACAATGAATAAAGAAAGGCAAAAAGCCCAGAGCCAAAATGTAGTTAAAGAGAAATGGGATAATATAAGTTAGAAAAGCTAGCTAGAAACAAGCCAAGCTAAGGCCAGGCATTCATAGGTCAGAATAAGTCTCCGTGTATTTATTTGGGAGCTGGGTGTCAGGCCCCCAAAGAGAAAAAAAAAAACCAAGTATAAGTATGCACATATACCTAGTCCCAGAGGTTGGTAAAATTCTGGAAAAGGTAGGCAACTCAATACTTTAGACTTTGTGGGCCTCTCTGTGTCTGCCGCAACTACTCTTCTGCGCCATTCTAGCACGACAGAAGTCACAGAAATGTAAAGGGATGAATGTGGCCATGTTCCGACCAAATGTTATTTACAAAGGACAGGGGCAGGAGAGGCGTAGTTTGCTGACTCTGCTGCTCTAGTCCCTCAGCTTACTCCCCACTAAGCTGATAAAATACTGAGTAAGGTTTCCTTTCCCTTGCCTTTTTCTACCTTTCCCAAGGTTATATTGTAAAACCTACTCTATCATCTACTTACTGCTCTCTTCTATTTATAATCCCTCCCCCACCAAAAAAAAAATCACTTAGAAAAGTTACTTGCAGCATTTTTAAATAAGGGAAAATGAAATTTCAAATAGTTCCAGGAAGGACATATAGTATTTGTGGAAATTATGTGGGGAAGAAATACTCTCAGTAAGAAAAAAGTCATGAAAACTTTAAGATTGGGGATAAAAACAACTTTCCAATGCATGATTTTGCAATAGACATGTATTAGGTTATAGGCTTTGGGGACCTCCCTGCATGCTCCTTGCCCCTGCACGCTTACGATTCATCCTGATGACAGATCAGGGGTGTCTACTCTACCTGGCCATCGCAGAGTTCAATCAGGGACACTCGCTCTCGGCCCGCTTTAATGAGCTTGCTCTGGAACAGCTTGCCATCAAAGTAAATCCAGGGGCAGCAGTGCTCCCAAGGGACTGGCTGGCCACATGCGTCATTAGCAAACAGAGCTGTGTCGACCCCACTCATGAACAGGGCAGCAAGCTGGATCCCTCGAGCATCCAGTTTCTCAATCTGAAACCATCACAGAGAAAAGAATTAAGAAATAGGAGGGGGAAAAAAGAAATGAAAAACTTTGTCTAAAAGAATCTAAAATCTATGGCCTCATATGGTTGGTTGAAGTTAAAATGCAGACGCCCTAAAATATTGTATAAGGTTATCTTCAGGGCTGGAGGGATGGCTCAGAGGTCCTGAGTTCAATTTCCAGCAACCACATAATGGCTCTAAAGTGAGATCTGGTGCCCTCTTCTGGCCTGTAGGCATCCATGCAGGAAGAACACTGTATACATAATAAATAAATAAATAAATCTTTTTGAAAAGAAGATTATCTTCAGGCTATGTTTATAAGGTATATATGAGGGCCTGGTGGTGGCGGCGCGCCTTTGATTCCAGCACTTGGGAGGCAGAGGCAGGTGAATCCCTGTGAGTTCGAGGCCAGCCTGGTCTACAAGAGCTAGTTCCAGGACAACTAGGACTGTTACACAGGGAACCCCCCCAATAAGGTATATGTGAAACATAAATAATGTAATAGTTAAGATTTGGGTCCTATCCTAAGATATCTCATTGTGTATATACAAACATTAAAAAGTCTACAAAAATTTCAAATTTGAAATATGCCTGATCATTTCTGTGCATTTCAGACAAGGGATACTTAACCTAGATTATCATTAGTAACATTTTTATTATTGTTACTGTTTATTTATTATAATGTCATATTAACTCTTCCAGGTAAATTAGAACATGTTGGACTGCCAGGATGGTTCAGTGGTTAAACATACTTGCTGCCAAGACTGAGTTTGATCCCCAGGACCCACATGGTAGAAGGAGAGAACTAACTTGTTCAAGTAGTTCTCTGATCTCCACACACACTTCATGGCACACATCTACCCCTCTGCACTGTACTCCCAAGTAGATAAAAATAAATGGAAGATAGTTATCGTGGCCAGGCGGTGGTGGCGCACGCCTTTAATCCCAGCACTCTAGAGGCAGAGGCAGGCGGATCTCTGTGAGTTCAAGACCAGCCTGATCTACAAGAGCTAGTTCCAGGACAGGCTCCAAAGCCACAGAGAAACCCTGTCTCGAAAAACAAAAAAAAATTATTGTTCAATAATAATTTATTTAATTGTTTATCTATTTTAAATAAAATAAATATAAAAAAGTAAAAAATGATCTTACTCTGGAGCTCAGGCTGGCTCACAGTCACAGTAATCCTCCTGCCTCAGTTTCCTTTCAGGAATCATTTCAGTGCATAAGTAGCTTTTATGTCCACCCTTCCTTGAAATAATTTGAACAGTGATTCTCAACCTTCCTAGCGCCGTGACCCTTTAAAGTTCCCCATGTGTGGTGACCTCCAACTATAAATTTATTTCATTGATACTTCATAACTATAACAAAATTACAGTTACTATTATGAATTGAAATGTAAATATCTTATATGCAGGGCATCTGATATGTGTCCCCAAAAGGGGTCACAACCCACAGGTTGAGAACCTCTGGTTTAGAGGATACTAACTATGTTGCCCATCAAAGTTGAAAATTTCAAAAAGTTAAAACCAAAAGAATATTCATTGCTGATGATAGTGCAATGAAATAAATGGGAAATCATATAAATTTTGAGGAACATACATTGCAACTAAGTAATATATATCAAGAACTATGAAGATGTTCACATTTGCCAACGCAGAGAGTCTACATTTAAGAATCAGTTCTAGCGAGGTGATGGTGCACAGACTTAGGAGGCTGGGGCAGGAGGGCTGCTGCAAGTTCAAGGTCAGCCTGGGCCAAGGCCACGGATCTTTTTTTTAAACCAACCAACCAACCAACCAACCAACCAAACAAACAAGAACCTCTTCTGCCACAGGGTAGAGCTCAGCTATAGTCCCAGCAAATCAAAAGGCTGAGGGAATAGGATCATCTGAACCTAGGAGTTGGAGTTCAGCCTAGGTAACATAGCAAGTTCCATTTCAGAAGCAAAATGTTCCAAAATCTGAAGCAATTTTGAGTGCCAACATGATATCAAAATTGGAAGATTAGATACCTCGTCTCATGTGACAGGTTACAGTCAAAATATAGGCACACTAAAACTGCTGTACAGGATTACAGACTATATTCTAAGGAAGTGCACAATGTCAATAAAGCTCTATGCATAAACATGCCATTATCACAGCACATATATTAAGGAAAACTGGAAATAATCTAAACAGTTAACATTATAATAATTAAATGATACATCCATATGATAAAAAAATCACTAGATTTTTAATACAAAGGAAATATGCACTTTGATAAGTTAAAAAAGAAAGTAAAATACACTTGTCTCTCAGTATTGTTGGGAGATTAGTTTCAGGACCCCTTGAAGATAATTCAATCTATGGATGCCCAAGTCCCTTATGGAAAATGGTATGTTTGTATATAGCCTACACAATCTTTCTATATGCTAAATTAGCTCTAGATTACTTTATTATGAACAGATTTCATGTTGTATTGTTTAGTGAGGAATGACAAGAAGTATAGTTAAGAGGAATCATTTGGAGATTTAAAAATTTAATTTTTATTTTTTTGGTTTTTCGAGACAGGGTTTCTCCGTAGCTTTGGAGTCTGTCCTGGAACTAACTCTTGTAGACCAGGCTGGCCTTGAACTCACAGAGATCAGCCTGCCTCTGCCTCCCTGAGTGCTGGGATTAAAGACGTGCCCCCACTTCCTGGCTTATTTTTTATTTTATGCATATGAGTGTTTTGCCTGTATGTACACATGTGTGCCACTTGTTTGAAGTGCCCTTGGAAGCTAGAAAAAGTCCATGGATTCCCTAGAAATGGAATTATAGATGGTTGTCAGTTGTAAGTGTTAGAAGCCAAATCTAGATTCTCTGAAAGAGAAATAAGTGCTTAGAGTCATTTCTCCAGGCCCATTGTTTCTTTTTGGAGATAGGGTTTCTCTGTGTAACAGTCCTGGCTATCCTGGAACTCTATAGACTAGGCTAGCCTCAAACTCAGAGATCTGCCTGCCTCTGCCTTCCAAGTGCTTGGAGTAAAGGTGTGTATGTATATTCTATGTAGAGATCAACCTGACCTTGAACTCATAGGTGACCCTCTAGCCTCTGCTGTCTAAATACTGGGATTATAGTGTTGCAGGAGGGCCTTCTGTTTATGTGTTGCTTTCATTGGTTAATCAATAAAGAAACTGCTTGGCCTGATAGGGCAAATCTTAGGTAGGTGGGGAGACAGAACTGAATTCTGGAAGGAAGAAAGCATAGAGAGAGAGAGAGAGAGAGCAGCCACGGAGACGCCAGGTCAGACATGCTGCATCTTTCCCAGTAAGCCACGACCTCATGGTGATATACAGATTATTAGAAATGGGTTAAGTCAAGATGTGAGAGTTAGCCAATAAGAGGCTAGAGCTAATGACCAAGCAGTGTTTCAATTAATACAGTTTCTGTGTGATTATTTCGGGTGTAAGCTAGCTGGGCAGGACAAACAAGGGGCCCCGCTCCCTACCACAGATTGGCACCCATGGTGTGGGACTGTTTTGTGACTTATGCCTTCATTATAGGATTGTGCCATTATACCCAGCCAATGGGTATAATTTTGAAAAATATTTTTGATGTATAGTTGACTTACTTTTTATATGAAAAAAAAGCTGTCAATTTATAAACAATATTCTAAATGGTTAGGACAAGCATACAAAAAGACTGCAAGATTTGATCATCCGTACACCCCCATCCTGCAAAATCAAAGAAAGATAACATCAAAAATTGATCACAGTATGTAGCTGGAGAGATGTCTCCATAGCTAAGGGCACTTGTTATTTTATAGAGGACCCAGATTCAATTCCCAGCACCTACAAGGTAGCTCACAATCATTTGTAACTCTGGTTCTAAGGAACTCAATGATCTCTTCTGACTTCTGTGAGCACTACACATGCACATAGTGCACAAATATTCATAGAGGCAAAACATCAATACACATAAAAATAAGTAAGTTAAAACTAATTGTAGTGGCTATTTAAGGCTGGCATGTCAGATGACTTGATAGAAAAGTTGATGTGTTTTCAAGTCCCCTTCTGGATGTGATTTGGCATGAAGAGCTGCTCTAGGACCCAGAAATATATTTGCTATTAAAAGAATCATTCATTGTCTTAGGTTGTTGCTAACCTAATTTACATTATGATTTTGCAAGTCTTTCTCTCCTTTTTTCTGGTGTTTGTGATTGAACCCAAAGCCTTTTGCTTATTAGCCAGGTACACTACCACTGAGCTGCAGCCTGACTTCAAGTCTATTTAATTGTTTGGTTTGAAATCACCACATACTCCCAGCTGGTCTCAAACTCTACCTTCTTGCCTCGGCTTTTTTTTAATATGTGTTTTTTTGAGACAGGGTTTCTGGCATCTGCTTTATAGGCCAGGCTGGCTTCAGACTCAGAAGTCTGCCTGCTCTGTCTCCCAAATGCTGGAATTAAAGGCATATGCCCCTACTGCCTGGTCCTGCTTTTAAGCATGTACCACCCTTCTTAGGTTGTCTTTCCCCATTCAGAAGGTGTCTCTCTCTTCTTCCTGCTAAACTATCTGTGCTCTGTGCTGGTTAGGTTTTTTTTCCCCCGCTGAGACAGGGTTTCTCTGTAGTTTGGAGCCTGTCCTGGAACTTACTCTGTAGACCAGGCTGGCCTCAAACTCACAGAGATCTGCCTGTCTTTGCCTCCCTAAACTCTGGGATTAAAGGCATGCACCACCACCACCACCCATCTTAGGTTTTTGTTTTGTTTTGTCAGCTTGATACACACTAGAGTCATCTGATGATGGAGGAGTTAATTTCATTGGTTAATAAACTGCCTTGGTCCATTTGATAGGCCAGCCCTTAGGTGGGTGGAATAGACAGAACAGAATTCTGGGAAGAAGGGAAATGGGTCAGACGCGATGAAGCTCCAACCCAAGATGGACATAGGCTAGAATCTTCCTGGTAAGTCAACACCTCGTGGTGCTACACACATTAATAGAAATGGGTTAATCAAGATGTGAGAGTTAGCCAGTAAGAGGCTAGAGCTAACGGGCCAAGCAGTGTTTAAATGAATAGAACTTGTGTGTTGTTATTTGGGGGCATAAGCTAGCCAGGTGGCTGGGAGCCAGGCGGCAGGAACACAACCTGCTGCTCCTTCTACAAATGGTGCCCAGACGTGGATGACTGAATCCACAGAAAGCCTGAGAAAGCTTGGGAAAGAATAAAGCATGTTTTATTGGTAGCAGCAATTTCTTGGGTCTACTCTGCTTCCTAGAGGCAAGCAAGCGCTCTCTTTTAAGAGAGACTTCCTGACTCAGCTTTAGCTGCAAAACCGTGCAGCTCTTTTAAGAGTGTTGATGAAAAGCTGAATGGATGCTTTTCGGTTTTCAGCCGTAGCAGGGAAAAAGCTGCTTTAAAATGCTGGCATTCTGAGCTGTCCTGTCAGGGCAAACTCTGACTGTTTGAGGCAGGAGGGCCGGCTACAGAGAGAGGATTTGAGTGTTGTCTGTGGACATACTGTTGCAGCTTGCTTGCTGGCAGGGACCTTGAAACGCCATAGACTTGTGGCAATAAACATGGCTACAACTGGTACCTCCGCCATGAGGCTGGAAAGCTAAGGAATGGGCTGGATCTAGCTGCCAAAGCCAGGGCTTTAATCCTCTCCTTAAAGACTCATGTGGTCAAAAAAAGAGAGATATACAGTAAAGAGAGATTCAAAGATGAAAAAGACTCTAAATGGTTTACAGTGTATTTAAAAATATATGCAGGCTTGAAAAATAAAAAAAGTTGAAGTTCTTAAAGTAAAGAAAAAAAGGGAGTAGTTGGGTGTGGTGGTACACACCTTTAATCCCAACACTTGGGAGGCAGAGGTAGATTGACCTCTGTGACTTCAAGGTGTGGCAGGACACACCTTTAATCCCAATGCCTGGGAGGCAGAGACAGACAGATCCCTGAGAGTTCAAGGACAGCCTGTTCTACAGAGTTATTCCAGGACAAAGACATACAGAGAACCTGTCTCAAAAAAATAATAAAAGTAAAAATAAATGAAATAGAGGTTAAAATAAAGCCACACAAAGATGGAAAATACACAGAGAATCTTGATACTGTATGCTATTATGCTCTCTTTGAATTGTTTGAATGCTGAGGAAAGAGCAACAGCTGCTAAAAGATATTTGTTTATAAATGCTGCTGAACTAATCTATGATAGATACTTTGAAAATACATTGATTTCAAAATTTGGATGTAAGGACATGATGCTTTGGAAAGAAGTTTCTTTTTTTTGTTTTCACAGAGGATGAGACCTGTGGATTGCTTCTATCCCAATATGGTATGATAGACCACGGCCTCCTGAAAGGTTGCTGTGAATACCTTCAGAAAATTACTTCATTCAAGTGCCAACTGAGATGAACCTAGCAGACAGGTTATACCATGAAAGACCTGAACAACAGCGCCCCCATTCAGCACGAAGCAGTTTGGAGAGAAATAACTGTGCCCATATTCCCAAATATTGTTTATAAATGTTCTTTTATATTTAAAGGGGGATATGATATAGATATGAATAATTTGCTTTGGTATGAATCTTGGTTTATTGATACAAGTTTAAGGTCAATTTTGTTATATGTATATGTATTTCTGATCTTGATTAAGGTATTGTGATTATGTAGTTCATTTAAAAAGGTAATGTATATAGGTTGTTAATAGATAATCATCTATAATAGTCAAGCTTGTAGTCATGTTAGATTTTCTAGATGTGCATAGATATCTTTTAGATTAGGCATTCTTCATATCTTTCAAAGACTACAGAATATGACATTAAATGTTTTAATAACTTAGGGCTTTTCATGACAATGAGACATGTCTGCTCCTGGCAGCACCAATCTACTTCAAAAGGAAGATGGGCATTGAAAAGGCTCCTTATGGAGTTGGTTAGCCATTTGGGCAAGAAACTGCTCTTGCCTGGACTGATGCATGAACTGGACACAAAGAACCTGCAGAAAGAGGACTGCTGAATTTGCCTAAAGGTGAGATGGTCTTTCGGGGTTCCTGACTTATGAAACAGTCTGCAAGACATTCTGCAGGACACAGCAGATAGTGACTGAACTGACTTTGAATTTTCCTGCTTCATGGAAATGTCTCTGGATACTATGGTCCTGAAGGCCGAAGATGGATGCCCCAGCGGTACAAAAGAACTTTGGGTGACTGTCCAGGCAGTGAGATATCTCTGTCACTTCTAGAGTTTTGGAAGTTTCTTACTTCTTGTTTACTTAGGTAATATTATATCCTTCTGGAGTCTTTGATGGAGTTGAAGAATAGATAGATAGTTATTGTTTTCCTTAGTTATGATAAAAGATAAAGTAAATATAAATATTGTAATTGTAATTCTTGCTTGATAACTGTTTTGTTACATGTGATTTTACTATGCTAAAGTTAAAGCCTTTCTTTCTTGTTTAAACAGAAAAAGGGAAAATGATGGAGGAGTTAATTTCATTGGTTAATAAAGAAACTGCCTTGGCCCATTTGATAGGTCAGCCCTTAGGTGGGTGGAATAGACAGAACAGAATTCTGGGAAGAAGGGAAGTGGGTCAGACGCAATGAAGCTCTGACCCAAGATTGACATAGGCTAGAATCTTCCTGGTAAGTCACCACCTTGTGGTGCTACACACATTAATAGAAATGGGTTAATTAAGATGTGAGAATTAGCCAGTAAGAGGCTAGAGCTAACGGGCCAAGCAGTGTTTAAATGAATAGAACTTGTGTGTTGTTATTTTGGGGCATAAGCTAGCCAGGTGGCCGGGAGCCGGGTGGCAGGAACACAGCCCGCTGCTCCTTCTACAATCTGAGAAGAAGGATCTTCAATTAAGAAATTGTCTTCATCAGATTGGCCTGTAGGGGAGTCTTAGGGCATTTCCTTGATTAATGATTGATGTATAAGCAAGCCATGAGCACAAGCCAGTAAGTAGCATTCCCTAGCCTCTGCTTCAGCAGCTGCCTCCAGGTTCCTGCCTTGAGTTCCACCCTGGCTTCCCTCAGTGATGTATTATTTTTTTTAATTTAAAAAAATTTTTTTTAGTGATGTATTATAAGTATAAGCCGGAATAAATCCTTTCCTGTCCCAAGTTGGTGTCGATCACTTATCACAATGCATATATTTTGTAAACTAGGATACTCCCCTCCCTACTCAGCTAGAGGAGAAGCTAGAACTATAATAGGTGCATGCTACCATATCTGGTTAATTTCATAAGTCTTATTGGATTTGATCAACTTTATCCTAGGCCTGGGGTACTGGAGTGATTAAAAGGGAGAAAACAAGTTGAACATCAAATCATCTCTCAGTGTGCATACAATGTGACCAACTCTTCAGGCTCCTGCTACCCTGACTTCACGGCCATGACAGACTATACCCTCAAACTGAGCTAAAACAAATGTTTCCCTCAATAAGTTGACTGTCATACCAGTGAGAAAAGTAATAAACACAGCCTCAAAGAAACATAGCTACTAAAACCAGGGGAATTGTGTCAATAACTAGTATTTATGTTGTATAGTTTATCTATCTATTTATAGATTTATTTTCTTAAATTATTATTTTATTTTATTACTTTAAAAAATACCAATCCAAATTCCCACTTCTTCCCAAGAAACCAGGCTTTATAAATTTATTTTATGCTCTATCTGCATGTACTACTTTATGCCAGAAGAGGGCAGAAGATCCCACTAGAGATGTGGTGAGCCACTATATGGTTGCAGGGAATTGAATTCAGGACCTCTAGAAGAGCAGCCAGTGCTCCTAATGTCTGAGCCATCTCTCCAGCACTGGAGCATGGAATATTTAAAATATACAATTATACAAGAGACTGTTCTGTTTTACATACATTCTTTTACACATTATCCTTACAGTTCCATGAGTTAAAAAAAAAGAGAGAGAGAGAAGGTCAGAAACTTAAGTAACCTAGACAGTATCACACAGACAGGAGGTACTAATGCTAAGACTGAAGTACAAGGCAACCTATATTGGGTCGACCTACTATATACTACTATCTTCTATTGCTTTCAGTTCTTGGTACTGGGGAGGCACCAGTAATGAGATGGTTCAGTAGGTAGAGGAACTTGAACACAAGACTGATCACATGAATTTGACCCCTGGATCTTTCAAGGTGGCAGGAGAGGACAGACTACTGAGAGCTGTCATGTGACCCCCTACCTGTATACTGTAGTATATGCATGCCTATACTCACACACTAAATAAACAAATAAATACAAATTAAGTAGTAGGAAGTAGACATTTACTCATTGACACTAAGGTAAGTCCCTGCAACATACCTTCTAAGTGACAGAAACCTTACCATGGTTTCCAAACCCTGCAAAATCTCTATCTTTTCTGTGTCTTCTCATTCATCATTATGGGTGGGGTAATATAGCAGCATCTCTTGGTTTTATTAATAGAAGTATCTATTTGGCTAAGGGAAATATAACATTTACCTATAGAATTATTCTTTTCCCTAGCTCCAAAAGAAAAGATGTAAAGTTGAAGATTGAGCTTTTGAAAGAAAAGGCACACACCTATAATCTCAGCACTTGGGAAGTAGAAGCAAAAGGATCAGGAGTGTAAGATCATAAGGTCATCTTAACTTACATAGAGAGTTTAGGCCCACCCTGAGACCCTGTTTCAAAAAAAAAAAGAAAGAAAAACCTAAACAGCAGAAAAAATTAAATGAAGGTGGAATAAATCACCTTGAGTTCTTGAAGCTGTTCTGGTTCATAAAGCTGGGTAGACACAGCCTGTGCAAGGAAGGTGTCAAGTTCATGGCGATGCAGGATTCGGCCACCAGGCCACTGAACCATGTATCTAGACACAAAAACATCATTATTTGATCACAATTGCCATTTATGTCACATACGCTTATTAAGAACCTAAAATGGTGGCAAGCATTTTAGCTCACACCTGTAATCCTATTATTTAGGAGAAAAAGGCAGAAGGCTAGAGTTCCAGGATAGCCTAGGCTTCATAGCAAGACACTATCAAAAACAACACCACCAAGGACTGGAGATGTAGCTCAGTAATAAAGAGCTTGCCTGGTATACACAAGGCTCTGGAATCAATTCCCCAAACTATAAAACAAACACACAAACATGCACACACAAAAACCCCACAAACTTATCAGGAACCAAACTCTGGGCTAATTTATAATTATAATTATTTCAAATCTGAGTGGTAGAGGAGATAGGCATGAACAGCACTGACAGTACAGTGTGTTACAAAAAAAAAACTACACAGGGTTCTATGAGAACACGGAAGAGTCCCGGTGGTCAAAGAAGTCACCGTGAAAAACTCAGTAGGAGAAGAGTTTCAAGAGAATTGACTAGTTATCGAGACACAAGCTAGGAATAGGATGCTCGAAGATCTTCTAGCAAAGTGTATTATGGAGGCATGATTTGGCAAGATGCTCCTGGCTTGATATTGCTGAATGATAGTGGGTAAAATTATAAAGTAGGCCACATCAGAGTCTCCAAATAAGATTATAAAATGCGCATTTTTTGTCCCCAAATTGTAGGAAGACATTTAAGGATTGTTAGTAGGAGAGTGATAATGACATGCATATCAGTTGAGAGGTGACTGAAGGGACTAAACAATGTATCAATGGAAATGAAGTTGTTTGGGGATGAAGCTAAGCACTATCAGTGTATAACTCCACAAGGTCTGGTCATAGGAATTTTTTGGCACAGTGCTAGGGATGGAATCCAGGACTACATGTATGTTAGGCAAATGCTTTGGTTACTTCCAACCCTTGGCCACAGACTTACGAACTCTGGCTTGTGAAGATAACTGGATGTCATGGTACCATTTTTAAAGCTAGGATCTGTAGGGCGGGGGTGGTGGTGGTGGTGCACACCTTTAATCCCAGTATTCAGGGTGCAGAGGCAGGTGGATTTCTGAGCTGGAGGCCAGGCCAGATTACAATGCAAGCTCCAGGACAGCCAGGGCTACATGGAGAAACCTGGTCTCGATAAAACCAAAGTAATAAATAAATAGGAAATCTACAAATTAGGTACCTATTCATGAGTGTTTAAATTGATTGTCCACAAACTGAATGTGTCTTATAGATACAGTGTCTTATAGATACTGAGAATGTAGAGACAGACCTGCAAATATATCTGTATAATACGTACTTAGTTCCGTGAAGGCCCACATGACAATGAACAAGCGTAACTTCTAAAGTAGTGCAAGACTTTGGAAAGTTGCTTTAAAGCAAGGGGTGGCTGGAACAACACATGGGATGTATTCCTGGGGACTCTAGTCCAATTACTACAGCCACAATCTGGCATGGAATCTAGAAACCTCTCTGAGCTACTGTCCTATAGGGGAAAAAAAAAACAAATCAAAATGAACAAACGGTATAAACATCCTGACCAACAATATTTTTTCTTCAAGTTCACAATAGTATTCCTTTGAATTTCACAATGATTCTGGAGTGGCAGGAAAGACAACAAATCCTGTGACTTCGTTTAGCAACTCAGGATATGTAGGCGGGGACTCTACACCCCACAAACTTCCCTTTGCCTAGAGCACTTCCTACCCTCTTTCCTGCTCACGCTTTGTTCACTTGGGAAATTGTATTCATACTTTATAACCTATTTTATACTTTCTGATACTATATAATTTACGACATAATTCATAGCTTGTACCTTTCATAGTGTTCTTTTTACTAATACTTTTTTGTCTTGAAGGCTATTTTTATAATTTCTTGATTTAGCTTTATTTAAGCTTCTATTTTTAAGCCTTTTATTCTACTTTGTTGGCAAATGAAAAGAAAAAAGGAAGAAAAGGAACAACAAGTTCATTTATACTGGGAGATTTCAAATGTTACCATCAAGCTATGACATGAAAAGTATAAATAAAAGACATTTAAAATTACAGACTGTGTGATTAGCAGAATGAGGTTCAAGTGCTTTACTGATTTTCTAAAAGACAATTTATTTAAGTGCCTATGTGAGTTACCAGGAGGTCTAGGGCCTTGTGTGCTCTTGATGATCTTGGTTTATAATTCTTCAATTATTATGAACGTTAGGTGCTTGGCATAGAGTGGGCATTCACAAACATTTATTGGAAGAATAATGTATCAACAGATCATGCTAAAACAAATGACAAACAAAAAGCAAAACAATCAACAACAAATCCTTAACCAAAAGAAAGCATCCAAAGTAGAATTCTTTGAATTACATATATCTTGAATTTTAGAAAAGAAAAATGACCTGAAGGAGTCAAGTGTGAGAGAGGCGAGTTCATAGAAAGGGTGTGATCCTGCAGATTGTTCTCAGTGCCGACTAAATGCACCTGGAGAATCACAGAGGCCTCCACAGAGGAAGAATTAACTTCCTCTATTAGAGATTAGAGCTTTTGCTTGGTTGACTCATACTGCAGTGCTAATCTCAAATCTCTCTCTAGCCTTAGTATAAAGTACAGCATCATAGGTGCTCAATAAATATTTGCTGGACAAATAAATCACTGTCAGCATAGGCTAACCTTCATTTTTGAATCACTGTTGCTATTCAACTAGTGTTGAATAAATTAAGAGATACAGTGTAGGGACTAATAAATCAATGGAGTGCAAGGATCAGAAACAGGATAGCAGAAAATAATAATAATTATTTATTAAATTTACCAATATTTAAGGTTGTTCATCATGTGCTATTTTCCAAACCTTATTATTCCACTGAAGATTTTCTCTGGCAAAACCGTATCATGGAGGTTAGAGAGTTGGCTCAGTGGTAAAGAGCCCTTATTGCTCTTGTGGAGGACTTGGTTTGGTTCCCAGCACCCACATGGTGGCTAACAACCATCTGTACTTCCAGTTGCAAATGATTCAGTGCCTTCTTTTGACCTTTGTGGGCACTGCATGCATGTAGTGAACAGACATAAATGCAGGCAAAAATACTCATACACAGAAAATAAAATAAAAATAGATAAAATAAAAAATAAAGCCTATATCATGATTTTATTTCCCAAGGTACTTTTTTGTTTTCAGTGACAAGACAACATCTTTACTATAATATAACTATACATAATGCACACCGGTATTATATATTCTACTATAGCTTATATAGGAAACTATAATTTATTCATATATAGTAAATTCCTGTGATATTATAGACACATTGCTAGGACTTTCATTTGTATAGAATATAGTGACAAAGAATACATACTTTGGAAGCTCACATGCATGTAAAAGCACTCAGCATTAGTACATAGCACAGTTTTTTTTATTGATGAAACTTTTTTAAGATTCTAAATTCTCAAACATATATATATATAAAGATTTCTTACTAGCCTATTAATTTTATGTTTATTTGCCAAGTCAATAACATATTAACTTAAATAATTGATAGTCCTTTCTTTTACACCACTTCTACTTTTTGTTGAGACAGGGTTTCTCTGAGTATCCCTGGCTGTCCTAGATCTCAAACTGTAGATAGGACTAATCTCAAACTTGAAGATTGGCCTGCCTGTGCCTCCCAGTTGCTGGGAAAAGCTATGTGCCATCATTGCGGGCACATCACTTCTACTTTTAATTTTAAGTAACATGAACAAATTTGTTCTGATTCCAAACTTTCAAGTTCAGTGTGATTCAGAAAAATGTAAAAAGTTGGGACCAACTGAGTTGGTAGAACACTGGGGAGAATGACTATATATATATATATATATATATATATATATATTTTTTTTTTTTTTCTTTTGAGACAGGATTTCTCTGTGTAGCCCTGGCTGTCCTGGAACTCACTATGTAGACCAGGCTGGATCAAACTCATAGAGATCCGCCTGCCTCTACCTCCTGGGTGCTGGGATTAAAGGTGTGCACCACCAGCACACAGCAAGAATGCCATCTTTATAATTAATTTTTATAGTCCACAAATTTTTCCATCTACTTATGACTCTTCAGCTTTTTTCATGAACATTTAGCATAATAATTATTTGAAGTGCTGGAGGTTGAACTCAGGTCCTCGCATGCATACATTCTTTAATTGACCAGCCCCTCAATATAATTGTTTTAAGGTTTGTTCATGACATGGCCTCTTATAAGTAGTTTGACTTAATTGCTACATAATTTTTATTGATGGACATACCTCAGTACGTTTATCCACTTACCAGTTGACAGATTATTAGGTTCTTTGAGCTTTTTGGCTATTATGATTAATACTTCCATTAATAGTCAAGTCTTTCTGTGGGCATATCTTTTCAGTGCTCTTGGAGTGATAGCTAGGAGTGAAATGAATGAGTCATCTGATATATACATGTTTAATCTTTTGAGAAAATAATAAATTTGGGGCTGAAGAGATGGCTCAGTGGTTAAGAATGTTGGTGGCTCTTCCAGAGGACCCAAGTTCTGTTCCTAGCACCTACATCAGGTAGCTCACAACCACCTGTAACTCCAGCTCCAGGAGATGATGCCCTCTTCTGGCCTCCACCACAGGATCTGCAAACACATGACATATACTCATACAGACAGACAAAGACACACACATACACACACTTTTGAAAAAAACTCTTAAGAGAATGGAAACCAGATGGAAATGTACCTCACTGGTAAAGCATTTCCTACTGTGTGCAAAGCCGTGTTTTTTAATTTGTTTCTCTGATTTGTTTTAAACAACAACCTTTCATTTAAAATAAGAAAATGGCAAAGTAGCCTCCAAAGTTGTATACCTCCTGTAGTTTTTCAACATTTTGAAATATTTGTTATGGTCTTTTAAATTATAAGCATTCTGACTGAATGAAGTAGGATCTATTATTATCACTTTTCTTCAACAAGCTGCTTGGAGTCCTCAGAGTACTAAAGCAAGAGACAGAAA